CTCCTTTCCGTCCCAGTCCACCACTCCTCCCTCATTCAGGCTGACATATCAGCCAGATTGACGGGTGTCAGTCCTAATACCAGTCGACTCTCTCGGTTAGGGTCTGCGTACTCTTCAGTCTTTCTACTCCCCCGCACACACACGCACACACAAACACACAGTCTCCCCTTCCTCTGTGCAGAGGAGGGAAGGGAGAATTTGCCAATGTTGCTTTAGCAGATTACTAGATTATCAGGGCATTGTGGTGAATTAAGCGGCGGCTAATTGTGGCAGTTATTTTATTTATTTATTTTAATTGCTGTTCCTTGTCACCTCAGATTATGCTTCCCATGCCATAAGGACATCAGATCTGTCAGGTACTGGAGGGCTTTGGGATGAGGCCCACACACACACTGAACTCTGCTGCCGCTGTGTTGTTTGAACCTCCGCTATGCTCTTAAACAAGGCTTGTCATGCCATTTTTAATTATCTTCATTTGAGAGTACAACGTTTTTTTTATTGGAGTGGATTTTTTTTAACACCCAATTAGAGCAACAGAGTCAGTCAACCTTTTATATTTGCTTTTATGGCACGATCAGTACAGTATGGCACTGATGGCCAAGGTTGGGGGTTGGATTCATCCTGCAGGCAATGCTCATCAGTGGTGCTTCCGATGATAAAATCCATCAAAAAGAAGAACATGTTCAGTTGCTTTGTGTGTTGAACAACACCAAACTTGGGACCTTCATTCATATTTTTCTTTCTCTGTCCTCCAATTGTTGAATTTTTAACTCTGTCTTTAATTGAGAGCACAAGGCCACAGTAACTTACATCTGGTCTACTGATAAAACCAGTTTTTTTTTTTTTTAAGCAATTCAAAACAGGCCACTACCCTGGGGCCCCAGACCTTCAGAGACCCTGGAAGCCAGAAGTTCACTTTGTGTTATACTTGTGGTTATTTGATTAACTGCAAATTTGTTCTTCAAAATCCACCATTAAATGACCATATCAGGCCTGTTGAAAAGTCAAGATCAAGTCAGTTGATATTGACTTTTCAGCAGGCGTTGAGACCGAAAACGGTTCTACAGTTAGGCTTTGGTAGGTGCATGTTGTTTCACGGCACCGACGAGGCAATGAAATGCTTATATTTTTTTGCCTAAATTCTCTCCTGCATCAACCGAGTGGCCCAATTCAGATAAATAGGGGCAACGTTTTCTCGTGTAGGGCTATTTTTAGTCTGAACAGGACCTAAAAGAAGTGCCCTAAACACTTTTCTATAAAAGGTCAATTATACTCCTATGGCCCATATTAGTTTAATTTATCTACTAAAAAGCCCCAGGGTGCATACACAATGCACATGTTGGTGGTGGGAGGATGTGTCAACAGGGTCCACATTTTTGCCTCTGGACCAACAACTGATGTTTGAATCCACCCATGCAACAGTGAGTCCTCTGCAAAATCGTTGAATTGAATGGCTGAATTAGTTAGAAATTATATAATCACTCTTATCTTCCAGTATGCACTATAGACACTAGTGTGTGCAGTCCTCCTGTATGTGGTCGTGCTTGTGGAATTTAATAAAGTAGCGGTTCATTACACAGAAATAAAAATCATGCTAGTGAGTTGTTGTTCTTTTTTCTAGATCTTTACATGCTGTAAATGCCAAAACAGTTCTGACTTAACCCACAAACCCCCATCTGAGAGTATTTTCGTTGTTAGATGATTCAGAAAGGAATTACACAACTGTTTGAGGGCGTAACAGTGGAGAGCTTGGAACTAATAATCAAAGACAATTGCATACAATCTGTCACTGTACGAAGTTATAGCCAGCGGAATAAACAGGTTCTGTGAAGACTCTTGCTCATTCATGGTATATCTAAAAGTCAAAGGGAACTGGACTTGCTCTAGATTCTTGAAGATACTTTGGATGAAAGCTTTTGTGGATAAAAACCTAAAGCAATGCCTTTAACTTCGCATTTCTAGATACATCTTAAGAGAGTTTTCTGAGGATCCCTCTGTGCCCCTGGAGCCCACTTTGGTGTAAACCTGGGCTGATGTAAACCATCAAACATTGATGGTCCAGCTGGGTTGCTGTTGAAGAAGAGACTCAAACCAATAGGGCCTTCTCTTTCTTTCTCTCGCTGCTTCCTGAGCACTCCTGCTCTGCCCCTGTTTATCCTCAAACATCCCCTCTTGTCAACAGATTAGGACTGAACCCCGCTGTCTCTTCCTTTCTTCGTCTCTCTCTGCCTCCATCTCTCTGTCTTTTGGCCTGTCTCTTTACATCTGCGCCTCTCCTCTATTCTTCTGACGGGAGAAAAGAGTGGGAGGGGGAGAAAAGGGAGAAAAAGAAAAGTCTATGTGTGTGTGTGCGTGTGTGAAAGAGAGGGGAGAGAGATGGGACAGGTGCTTGCAGTGCAAGAATTGCTTTGCTTGCTTTGCTTGCATGATCAGGCTGCAAAAATGTTCAGCTCAAGCAAAAGTGCTGTTCAAGAATCGACTCTGAGAAACAGACTTCCTCGCCTGTGGCCAGACCGGCGCTGGCAGCACAGCGGCGGATCACAGCGGCAACACGCTGCATCGGACCCACACACACATATACACATGCAGGGCCAAGTGGTAATTACAGAGGCCCACAGACGCGCGGTCAACCACACAGAGATGATGCTGGCCTGTGCTAGGAAGCCAGGCACAACACTGGACTGAACAGTAACTCGGGCAGCTCAGAGAGAGAGACAGTCAGAGTTGTCAGCAGAGGGAAGCAGGCAGAGACACCTGGAAGACCCCAAACAGGCTAAACACACATTAGGCTGCAGCTGCTGCATGTAGGGGACGGATTCACTCTGATCACATTTACAGGCTTACACTGGCTCAGCTGGAGACGCTGATCTGCTGCTCTGCTCTGTTCTCTGCTGTGTTCTGTGTCTGTGCTGTTTCTGATCCTCTCTGCTGGTTCTGTTGTGTTGTTTTGTTTGGTTCTGTTTCTCTTCTTTGCTGTTGTGTTTTGTTTCTATATCTTGGTCGGTTCTGTGTCTGTTCTCTTTTTGCTCTAATTTGTCCCAAGTTTTCTGTTCTGTTTGGTTCTTTCCTTCTCTATGTTGTCGTCACTGTTTTGCACTGTCCCTGTTCTGTCCTCTTCTCTTCTTTGTTCTGTTCTGCTCTGGTCCACTCTGTTTGGCCTTGCTCTGTTCTGATCAGTTTTTCTTCTGTTCTGCCTCGCTGTCCTTTGTTCTCTTTGGTCCAACTCTTTTCTGCCTTGCTCTTCCCTCTTTCTGCTCTGCTCTGCTTTGTTTTGTTCTGTTTGATTCGCTCTAGAATAATCAAGCTTCACTGTTTCTTTACTCTCTCTACTTGTCTCTTTCATCCTGCTACAACCAGCACAGTCAGTATCTTCATCCCTGATTAATCTGAGCTCCTAAGAATATTGATTGATTGACATTTATCATAATATCAGCTGATCGAATCCGACTGACACGTTCTGTTACATCCTCATCAAAAGACAAATGCATCCATTCTTCTTCTTCTACTGTTTTCTCTCACAGTGTCTACTCTATTCTATTTATTGTATGATGCAATAATAATGTCTATCTCTCTGTTCTATTCTAGGTGGTCAGCTCTGCTCCAGTCTCAGAGCTCCTCTGACTGTCTGTCTCGGCAAATAAACGTCTGTGGTTCATCACACCGGTGGCCTGCGGCACCGGGGACCTAGGTGCAGAGACAGGTACACACACACACACACAGTTGAACTGTTCACATCAGGCCACATCAATTAATCACCTCTGCCTTTGGAGCCGTGACTGCCCTCAAACACAAACGCACACTCATCCTCTCTGGAGCTGTGTGTGTGTGTGTGTATGTGTGTGTAGAGAGAGAAAGAGAGAGAGCAATCTATCAAGGTGATCGATAAATAGGGACATTAATATTAGTAATGGGGCTCTCCTCCAGTCCAGTGAATATGTCTCCGTCTTTACGGTAAAATATGAATTTTTCTTGGCACCTTTGCAGCGGGGCCGCGCGCACGGGCACGGGCACGCGAGACTCTACCTGCATGCTAAGAGGAAGATGCACTGGTCTCTATTATCTCTCTCTCTCTCTCT